ATTTATTTTTTGTTTGACACATGTGAGTGTTGGTTATAGCTGCGCGCTCTCTTTCTCATTTGACAGAGTGTCAGCTCGAAAAATTGGAGGCAAACGCAACAAATAACGAGAACGCCATTGAGAATAGATACAAAGGGAATGCAAAATTAAAGAGTGCACTGCTGTTGTTGTTGTCCAAAAAGCAACCAAATCTTAGAGTGACGCTATTAAGAAGTGCACTTGGTGAATTGAATGTGTATTGTGTGAGTGGTGGTTATTTTTTTTATCCTCTACTCGTTCTTGTATTGGGCTCCCGTTTATTTATGTTTATACACGTTTTGTTTACGGTGCACTCCATCACCAGTGTCGAGTTTCGAGCAATTCGTATAATATGCATATTTAAAGTTGACATTTTACAGACGCGCTGATACAAACACATCAATTTCAAAATATTAAAAAAAGTAACAACAATTGTTTTTATTTTACGATTTTTTTTTCATACGATTTTATTGAATAAGTAAAGCACGTGTTAGTTTATAAGTGTAAAAGATTTAGGCGATTAGAAATTGGCATTCCACGGTTGCGGAAGTGTCCATCCATAAAAAATATATACATATATACAAACACACCACAAATTGAAAGAAATGAGTGAAAGATCCGAAAAAAATAATCAAATTGCATTGTTTATGAAAATATCGGGTAAGCACTGCGGCCGCATCACCCAATGCGATTTTGTGAAATAATCTTATTCGTTCATCTCCCGAAAAGGTGCTGATTTCGATACCGCACGCCAAGCACTCACCGTAAACAATTTGGAACAGGCAATCATTTATCATTTAGAACGAACAAATGCGATCGGTGCACCAGAGGCTGATGTTGCAGGTAATTTGAAACGAAAATGATTTCGTATTGGGATAGCTGCGATTGTTGTCATGCCACCCGTTTTTTACATATTTATTTTTTGTTTGTTTTCTATCCATAGCGGCATCCACATCGACCGACGCAAATTTACCAATTGACGATGATGACGAGGTTCGACCGCCCATTCCACCGAAACGTGAACAACTCATTTTACCAAATGCAGACAAATTTCCGTATCGCAAACCGAAAATAGAGAATATTCTTGGCTTTTCAAATAGCACACGTGAATTGTTCAATCGTCAAATGAATGCAAGCGAAGCACAACCGTCCACAAAACCAGCCGTACCAAGCCGATTGAGCGAACTATTTCGGCCACCCGTTGATATAACATTTGGCGGTTCATTTGAAGCGGCTCGTGACTATGCCAAAGAGCAAAATAAATGGCTTATCGTTAACGTACAAGATATGAGTGATTTTAATTGTCAAGTACTCAACCGTGATATTTGGTCAAGTGGCAAATTACGAGAGGTCATTCAACGGTACTTTGTCTTTTGGCAAGTGGCCATTGATAATACGGACGGCCATCGATTTCAAGTGTTTTATGGTATACAAGTATTTCCATATGTTGGCATCATTGATCCACGTACCGGGGAAGAAAAACTTTGCTACAAAACTGGATTCAAACTTACACTCAACGATTTTATGGACACATTGAAAATTTATTTGAAAGAAAATACACCACATCCAAATGCAGTAAGTGTCAAAGTCCAATGGACAAGATGAATTTCGGACATTTTGATGATGATAATTTTTTTGTTGTCGAAACTCTCTTTTCGAGCATTGAACTGAAAAATAAACAACATTTCTAATTTTTTTTTTCTTCCTTTCAGGTTGATGGCATTGTCAGCATTGTCGATGAAAAATATTTCGAAATTAAAACCACAAACTCAACAAAAAATCATGCAACAGCATCACCGAATCCAAAGCGAAAACGACTTGAACCCTCATCACTGACTGAACAAGAGCAAATCGAATTAGCCATTGGTAGGTGTAAATCTTATTGTTTTCATGTAAACTCACTGAAGACGGACATCACACGTAAAGACATTCAGAGGCTCTTCAGATTTTATAATCTTTATACATTTACGCCATGTTTTCAAAACTGAATTAGTTTAAGAGATGGGTGTCTTACAAAAATTCGTAACAAATAACGACCGAACTATTTTGTTTTCGTTATATCTTCTATTTTGAATCGACTTTCAATAGCCAATGTTTCTGTAAATTTCGTAAATGTATATGCACGAAAAATGGCAACTCTATTGAAAAAAAATCCAGATAAATTTAATTTATAGATTTCAACTTTACACGTATGATAAATTCGCCATTTCCCTGCTAATGATTTTTGTTTCAAATTTCAGCTCATTCATTGCGTGAAGTGAATGCAACCAAAGATGACAATAAAAGTGATAGTTTTGGTGAACCATCATCGGACGAAGTGGACTTTGATTTCGATGATGAATCGTCAAATAAATCGTACGTAAAAAGAAATACGTGTCGATGCTTTCGTGTAAATTATCGTAAGTGTTGGTTTCACATAATACTAATTATCATTTTTTTCTTCTTATGCAGTTTCGACATGAGTTATCCACAAATGAAGCCAAAATTGTCACACTCACTTAACCAGAGCCATAATGAAGATGCGATTGCAGGTCCATCAAACGACGAATCTCCGCCGAAAATATTCAAATTGAACATCGATTGCTTTGACGAGATATTTGAATATTTGGGCGTGAAAGATTTGCATTCATTCGGACAAACATGCAAGCGAATGAACAAAGTGGCCGGCGAATATTTCAAACAAAATCATTCATCGGCTGAGATATTCTGCGAAAAAGATGGAATTCACACAGTTTATTCGGACAAAGACGGTGTTATAGATAATCTTATTCAAACATCTGGTTTTATTAAGTTCATTCCATGCATTTCAATTAATTATCGTTTTGAGTCCACTCAACCGATGGGTCCACTCAAATATATTAAATCGCACATCAGTGAATTTGAAGCAACCAACCACATTTATCTGTGGAAGTTATGCATTAAAAACGAAACAGTTGAAAATTTTAAACAATTGTTGCCTCAACTGGAAATTCTTCAACACCGACATTGCACGATGTATGGTGACTTTTACGATTTGATATTGAAACATTGTAAGAATTTGAGAGAGATTTATATTCAAGAATCGGATGTTGGTTACCGAATAAATGGTAAACTCAACTGGTTATTACAAGAATATCCAAAGCTTGAACGATTAGAATTGATGCCTGATGATTCTTACAAATTTGAAGAGCTAGTTGAATTTGAAGAGCTACGTGAATTTTTCGTACGCAATCCAAATGTACAGAGATTTTCAATTACCTTAGAATATTTGTGGCACAACGCTAACATATTTTTAAATTCCAA